ACCCAGGCACGGCTGCGTGCGCCCGGGTCTGTGGGCAGGGGAGGATTTGTGGGGCCTCAGCCCAGCCTGGGAACAGGGCACTGTGCAGCGAGAAGCTGTGGCTGAGCATCCCTGCAGCCCCCCGCTCCGCTCCGGCCGTCCCCCAGCTCCCTCCCCAGTCTCTCTTTGAGCGCGGCTGCTGCCTTCGCCCTTATCTATATTTCAACGCAGCTTCAAAGCTGGGTGCCTTCACCAGCCAGAGAGAGAGGGAGCGAGCACGGCAGGACGATGAGATGGAGAGATAAATGGGGGGAAGGGGAGAAGGGCAGCCCCCCAGCACCCTTCCTCCAGCCAAGAGAGCGGTGTTGTGTGTGTTGGGGGGGGACGACAGTGGCCCTGGTGGGACCGCCGCTCCCCCTCCACCCCAGCTACGGGTTCATTGTTAATCCCACGCGTACGTGTTCATCAGCCTGGGAGCACCCTACGTCCCACCACGGGCAGGCAATGGGCGTCCCTCACCAAGAGATGAGCCCAGGCGGGCCAGTGGCACTGGTAACCCAGCAGCTGGACGGGGAGCCCCCAAAACCCACCTGCACCCACAGAGCAGGGACAGAGCACAGCATGGAGACTGCAACCCACAGGGGAACGCGCACACGCTGCCCAAGCCCCCACCAGCCTGGAAAAGAATCCTGGAGGTTTCTCAGCTGTGCGCTGGCTTTCCATCTCAGCTAGGGCTGAGAGCCAGGACGACTGGTTCCCCCCAGCAGTGCTGTGTGAGCCACCGCAGCCCTCCTCCACTGCCTCAGTTTCCCTTTCCAATTCACCCCCCTTCCATGATCCCCTGCTAGCAGTGAGGGGGGGCAGCGGAGTCAGGGATGCAGCGGGAACAGGGCTGTGGTGGAGACAGAGAAGCAGTAGGGACAGAGACGGGACAGGGACAGAAAGGCAGTGGAGAGGGACACTGTGGGAATCAGTGGGGATGGGCGCGTACTGGGGAAGGAGGTGCTGACAGCAGCTCCCTACATTACTGAGGGCTGTGGGTCCCTCGGCCAAGTTTGTGCAGGGGGATGGGGCAGGATGGGGCCAGGGTCTGTGGGTCATGGACTGGGCACAGGGCAGGGCAGGAAGGCCTCCGGGCTCTTTATCTAGTGGGGACGTATCAAGCTGGGACACGTCCCCTCCCAGGGGAAAGGAGCCCCTGTCCCTGTGGGGAGAGAAGGGCCCCCCAGCCCCTCCAGGCGGGGGGGGGCTATCACCTGCGGCAGAAGCGCAGCCTGGGGCCGTGGGCAGCACAGAGATGTGGGGAGACCCTCACTGCCCACCGCCCCTGGTGCAGCCCCAGGACTGCGTCCCCTGGCCAGCCCGGGGGTCTTGGAGCCTGCAGGCAAGGGGCACAGTAGAGGGGGGGGCCAAGGCAAGCCTCTTCCACAACAGCACCAAGAGAAGCCAAGGTCACCCCCCTGCACCCTGCCAGCGCTGTCGGCATTCAGGGCAGGTCCCACTCACACCTTGCACTAAATATTAATGCTTCTGCTTGTGAGGGTTTGGGGTGCAGCATGCACATGCGTGCACATGCACCTCTCAGACACGCTTCTCAGGTGTACACGGGGGTCCCAGTGCCTCCTGCGCAGGTGGGCAGAGCCCCCTTCCTCCCTGGCTGCACCAGGATCTGTCCCCTCTACCTCCACTGCGTGCTGGGCACCGGCTGCGATGCACCATTCATGCATGTTTGTCTGGTGTGCTTGCTTTCACCATTACACATGCATGCGCTGCTGCAGCCACGCGTCACCCCAAGACAATGACACGTTCTTGCTGCTCTCAAGTCCCTTGTGCCCTTGGCAGTGCAGGGCTGCCACGCGTCTGCAGGCACCCGTGAGCCACCGTGTGCACAAGCAGCCACGCAAGGATGCAGGAAGGGCTGGGGTGGCTGCGGAGGGACTGGAAGGCTCTCGGTGCCGGCATCAATTTGGCTTGTCAGGACCAGCAGTGATGGCCACTCACATCCCATTTGCTGGCAGGGCCAAGCACCGTCAGCGGCTCCCCCCAGACCCACGGGCACCTTGGCCGGGGGGGCGGAT